TGAAGAGTACTCTCTATTAGATTTTTACGCTTTTCATGACTTTATCTTCGATCATTAGTAGTGGAGAGTGCTTTCTACCTTTGAAATTCCTACACAGTAGTCATAAGTAGTGTAACTAAATATTTTACCTATTATTAGTAACACGTACATATTGTAAATATATATTACCTATTATCAATATGCAGTAAATACTAACACTTACTAGTTCCTAAGAAATGCCCAGATCAATTATTTACTAGTTATTATTACGTGATTTAAATATATTTAATCATGTATAGGTACTACAAAATAATTAAAGTAACCACTTGTTGATGACCCGTAACTGGTGAGTATTAATAAATAACGGCGACTAGCAATTAGTATGTGATAGAGTCACAACTTACTGAGAAAGTAACAATAATAATTATCTATTTTTCAAGCTACACGTTATTTTTCGAACTTACAGCAAAACAGTAAAGTACTGTTTCAACGCGTCTTGGTTTCGCAAAAACGATTTTAGGACGTTTTAAATGATTTCGGTCACAATCTTGAAAGAGACCCTGTTACGAAGCATTTATTTCTACGCCAGCAAGTTCACATTCCTTAGCTATGGGATCTTCCGAAAATATTCATCAGAAAAAAAAATAATCTTCCTTTTACAAAAAAAAACCCATTGCAAGGGCTATTAGAATATGCATATATCTCGAAATCGACTTTTTTGACGGAATCCTTAACTTGAAAAATGCTTAAAAGACTACATAAAAATTGTAACGAAAGTCCGGACCCTTAACTGTGTCTAACTTTTTCCTGATTTCTTTTGTGGATGATTTCCTAAAAATAAAATCTTTTACAGATGATAAAAATTTGCCAAATGAAACTATTCTATTTTGACTAGATAGAATCATTATCATTAAATTGATAAAGTAATTTTTAGGTGTTTTTTGTTCAATATTAACACCATTAGTTGGCCTTCAAGTACTTGCACTTGAACGTAATTATGAATTAACAATTGGTGCTAATATTGGTACAACCATAACAGCACTTCTTGCTTCTCTTACTCAAACTGGTCTATTTTTTCGTCAATCAATTCAAATAGGATTAACACATTTTTTATTTAATCTATCGGGTTGTATACTTTGGTATATACTTCCATATTTTCGTCGTATTCCAATTTATTTAAGTCGTCAAATTGGTCAAATTGTATCTGAATATCGTTGGTTTGCTTTAGTTTATATAACTATAATATTTTTTCTTTTCCCATTAATTCTTTTAATTCTTGCTTTAATACATTGGATTGTTGCAAGTATATTTCTTCTATGTATTTTTCTTCTTATTATTTTAATTTTAATTATTAAATATTTTCAAAAAACAAATCCAAATAAATTACCAACTATACTACAGTCATGGTCTTTTCTTCCACGTTCATTTCGTTCGTTTTCATATTGGGATCATCGTTTAGAAACTTCTATTAAATATATTTGTTGTCAACGATGTATTAATTTAATTTATCCATCAAATACAATCGAAAAACCATTAAAAGAACAATATTTATCAATGAAAACTCAATATTTAACAGCACTTGATCATCGTTTTTTGATTCATACACAACAATTAAATCAATTATTTGAAAAATATCATGCACCAATTATTCCTATTTATGAATCACGATATCCAATTACAAACTATGTAAAAGATTTCTATCATAGTTTAACTGGTAAACCAACACAAGGTGAAAAAGCATTATTAACTCTTATACAAACAAATTTATTGTCCAAAGAAACAAATATTCATGAACATGAAGAAGAATTAATCGATCGAATTATTGTTTTTGATCGAGATAACAAAAAAGAAATATCTGTAAATGAATACAAAAGTTCTTTGTCTTTTTAACATTTTTTCATATAAATAAATAGTTATTGTAGCTATTGTTGCTAATGACAGAAAGATTGTTTTATCCTCTCTCTGTTACGACATATTTCTTTACCAATCTTTTACTTAATATTCTAGACATGTCACGGTCAGAGATGTACGGGGACCACGAAAAAAACATTGTCGGGACTAAAACTAACTACTATAGCTAAATATTCTCTGACTTTTAGCGTATTATTTGATAATTTATCAATCAGAATATATGTTAAGAAAATTAAAAACAACTACTGAAGAAGCTTTTAAGTATGATACAAGTAAATTCTGGAATAGTTTTCTCTAGATGGGAATCGAATCGTAGAGTTCGGAAGTTCCAAAAAATTTGAATCGAGAACATATCCGAAACTGTTAAATCATCAGATAGATACAAAAATTCTTAACTTCTATGGGACGAGCAGCACATTGGACTCATTCTTCTCTATTCCCTTGTTGACTGCACCACTAGTCTTGTATGATATTTCAATGACAAATACAACCCAATAGACTATGGATTCGTCATTGCAAATATATCCTGAAGCTATCATTCATCTTCTTTCTTTCTATACTTAGAGCAATTACTTCTATACTGTTACCGCGAATGTTCGATGAGTGATGACACCTACTATTAATTTCTTGTGTAGTATCCTTATTATCTTTATGTGAGTTCTCTCTTCTAGGATGTTTTAGTTGTGCCGATCATTCTTATATATATATGTACATTGTTTCATAGTTTTCAAAATGTATGTCTTCTCACAGTAAACCCGTTCCCGAGGGGTTAAATCTATATCGGCAATTCTTTATTTTTTTATTATTCAGATTAAAGATCTCAGTATATATATATATATATAATTTATGTTACGTCTTTAATCTCAACAATTCAGTAGTGAAAATTTTTTCGAAATAGATATAAAACTTTCATATCTATCTGATTATTTAACGTTTTCGATTCCATGTAATATGGCCAAAAAAATAGGTCCCGCACATTGCTAGTCACAATCTATGGAGGAAGAAGGGAAGGTGAGGTAAAATCTTGACTCGCATGATTCAGCACTCCTTTTAGATAGTACTTTACAAAAGCAGGATCCATTCTGAAAATCATGTCTGTACATTGAAGCATTGAAAAAAAAAGAATAAAACATAATGCAATATTTTCATGATCTTCATAAAAGGAATAATTTTCGTAGATATCAGCTTATTTTTTAGCAAAATTCTATATATCTTTTTATTAAATTTTCATTCATGAGAATTTCCATAACGATTGAAAATAATTATTTTTTTTTGTTAATAAATATAATCATAAATATTCTTATAGTACATGAGAATCGAACTATAATTTGTTTTTTACATTGGTCCACAAGTGAGTGAAGGCAATATACCCATCCATGCACACGCACATCCAACCCACGCCAAAATGAACTAAATGAACCAAAGTATCTAAAGGAACTTAAAAAACCAAAGATTTCTTATGGATTCTTCGCTTTTTATCATCTATTCTTATTAATTATGCATTCTGATCTTTCTGTTTCTCAGAAGGCATAATGGTTGTACATTTGGACTCTGTTTGACTATGTTGCTTGTAAATATAATCATATAAATTCATCGTGATATATAGCTATATATGTATATAAGGATTTTTGTATGTTAAAAATAAAAATATTGAGTACTAATGATTAGCTTAACTTATTTTGATTTATTTATAAAATCGACATTGATGTATGACTCAATAAATTTTCAAAATTCTTAGAATTGAATTCTATTAATGGTTTTTGATTAATTACTAGAATATAACGAATGATTTCGAAATATTGATTATTAATCTCTGATGTTTATCCTGTTTTTTTGTAACTTAATAACTGAACTCTCTTGTTATCTTTTTGGTTTTTTTATCGTGTGTTATAAATTGCACAAATATTTGAAAAATTCTATAAGGCTTTCAATGTTATCGATGTAAAGGACACGGCAGTGCAGACGTCAACAAAGAACGACAAAAACGCATGTCTACTACATATGTAATAAAAAAAAATACAAAGTTCACATGATTTGCTTTCTTTGCAGATGCTTACGTTTGAAATGCGGTATAGGATGAAGAAAGTTGTTGCCTTGATTATTAATAACTATTTTGAAGAGTGGATTTAATGTCTCATGAAAACAAAATATCTGCGCAATTTGACAATATTTAACAGCAACACAATTGTCTACACAATATTTATGACCATAATAAAAACTTGCAAGTATATATTTTATTTTCATAAATTGACATTTTAAATAATGACATTAATAGGTAGAATTCAACATATAACCAAGACAATTCAAGACAGACATTGAGAATTGCTTGATGAAACAAATTTTACTTAATCAAAAGAAATATGCAATTAGTAAATGTGTGAAAAGACTTGAGAATGTTATTATATATTGATATTATATCCGATAATGATTTAGTAATCTTATTTATTTTCTTTTATTACACCATTGAAATACTTATTTGAAAATAATGATATTTAAAAATAAGAATTCTGTTAAAACACAATTATAAACTCATGATGCTTATCATAACAAGTATGCATCTTTTGATCATATTAGTATGAAAATATTTCTTAATTTTAGAAGATATTCAAAAAGAAATTGAATCACAACTTTTTCTTAATCCAACCAAGAAAAAAGAACTTTATTCTTCATTAATCATTCAAAACGCTTAATAATGATCATTAATGTTTATTGAATAAGACTAATAATTGGATATCTCATTTAGAGAAACTTTATTTAATAGATAGATCGAACGTTTTAAGACAAAATATTTGTCTATTTTTAGGATATTTTGAAAGCGTTTTCCAAATGTAGACTTAGAAGTTTTCTTGAGATCAATGAGATGATCCTTTGAAAGGCTCAAGAAATAGTTTGGACGGAAGACTTTTCCGTAAACTTTTGTATTTTCATTATTGCAACTCGAAAGTACATGTTGACATTTTTATTTATGTATTACCTGGTAGAATACAAGCTACTCTGTAAAATGAACTATTAAAGTTTTTCTACAAGTCACTTCAATTTTTATTTCTCTTAAATCTTCATTTTTGACCAAATGGCGTCTTGTATAGAAAGTAACCCTGGACAACTACCTTAAGTTTCATTTAGGTAAAAGTGTCTCATTAATTATGATGATGATCACAAACATTTCAAGTATTAAAGCAACATTTAATTTTTTTTAATGAATACAACAAGTCTACATAAGAAAATTGGTGATATATATATATAGTGACTACCAAAATTATTTAACAAGGTTTATTTTTGATTTTTTTCCCGTTGCCTAAAGCTTTAGAGAGGATCCAAATAGTAATTAGATTAGAGAAAATTGTTTTCAACATGAATATAAGAAAATCAAAATTATTATTAGATTCTCAAAGATCAGAGCTTGGGAAAACTAAAATCCTTGGTTTTCAAACACCCACAATATGTGAATATAATTTTGTTTGGACTAAATGGAATGATTGATCAAAAAAACTCTCTACAAAATGAAACGTCTCCGAGTTTTCTATGACGACTTTTAGTTAAGATACAGTAATGCTATGAAAGCTTCTAACGTTGATTTTTTTTTGTTATGTCCTATAGAACAAACGATTTTTAGGCTTCAATCAAATCGCGTTCTTAGTGTTGAAAAATTAGGATTTCTGGACACCATATCTTTGAGAATCTGACAAAAGTTATTAAGAGAGGGTCCGTGAGAGCACTTAGCAGCTTTATCAGGAGCCGGCCGCCGACAAAATTTTGATTTTCGATTTAGGTATCTCAAATGAAAGGTCTAGTCAAACCATAGACAAATCCAAAATATTAGCTCTTTCTGACTTCCCTATGAAAAATGGCATAGTATACAAGTGATACACCCTCCGAAACCTGGAAAAAAGGCAGTTTTTTAGGGTGACCTTAANAGCACTCCAAAAATCGGTAAACAGCTTTATATTTCATAAATTTTTGCGTGCGCTGGTATTAATAGTTTCACTATTCAGTTTTGAAAACTTGAGTTAGTAGCAGAAGCCAAAGACATCAGGTACTTTACGATTTCCTTCTGGGATAAAATTCAAATTAATAGTTTGATCAACGAGCAAAGCGTAATATTTAAAGAATATTAAATAACTCAACTTTTGAGAATTTCGGGAGTCAAGAAATCGGAATGTACATATGTTTCAGTATAGTAGAAATGTCTTGATAGTACAGTGTGTATCATTTAAAAGCCATTTTTGAGATATTATGGCTTTCAAAATATAAACAAAATAAAAAAAACATTAAAACATTTTGGGATACTATATCTCACGAAAGAAATTCCTCCAAGTAATTGAGATCACATAAGTAACACAGTTGTACACTAGCCTCCGTGCAATTTTAAGTGGATTTCCGATATGCTGAATGTGCGAACATGAAATATGTAATGTATAATATGCATTGGGCTCGTACGTTTTTAATGCAAATGCTTGTAAAGTAAATGGTACACTCTAAAAACTGTTTTCCTGTGAACTCAGACGTTTTCGAAAATCTATTCAAGTATTCTGAAAATATCAACTTCGACACAATCAAGGTATTTTCCGAAACTCTTATCATATTTTCGCGAATCATAATGGTACCCAAGGTACCTAGTTTGCCGAAGAAGATAATCCGAGAACGATAAAAGTATGAGAGGATAGATTTTCGACTTCACAAAATTTTTCCCTCGAGGTGAATGATGTACGAACGGTAGCGTCTGGAAGAATCCGAAAAACAGTAGGAAAGTAAAGGCAGTAATACAATGTCTGTATCCAGTGGCTGGATTTCGCCAGAAAATCATTGATCTGGCTTACCAATCTGAAAATGTTTCGAATCTTCGACATCTGAGAAAAATGTATTAGAAGACCTATATTGATTTAGAAACATTCACTGGACTTCGAAGAGCTTCTGATGTTTTATAAACCGCCCAATTTTTCGGAAAAAGATCTTGGAAATCTAAAAAGCATTCCAAAAAC